GGAGAACATTCAATTCAAGAAGTGAGTAGGCAACCTAGAGAGACAGTCCAGCAGGAAGCTTTGGGCCTAGAAGCCCTTTCTGCCTACGCACGTCGTCATTTTTTGAAGTGAGCTTAGTCACCAACAGTTGTTGTTAGGTGCCGTAGGGTCATTTCTGACTCACAGTGGACAAAACATTGCTCAACCCTTGGTCTCCTCACCGTCTTGCTATGTTTGATCCTACGGTGTAGCCACCATGTCAGTCTAGCTCATCGAAGGTCTTCCTCTTTATCTCTGACCCTCCACTTAACCAAGCAAGATGTTTTCCAAGGAATGGTCCCTCCTGGCCACGTACCCAAAAGATTTGAAACAGTCTTGCCATCCTTGAGGTACACTTTAAAGAACAAGGTGACACAGCACTGTACAGAGAACCACGGCAGAGGTATTTGTCTCACTCAGTCCCTGGATTCTGACCCTTGGCGACACACACCATCAACATCATCCTGTGACAAAGGTCGGTGTGTGTATATGTGTGAGATGTAAATGCATTTGTGGATATATATACTCACACATATATCTTCACACTCCTGTATACACATACCGTATGTACTCATGTATAAGCTGAGTTTTTCAGCACATTTTAAATGCCATTTCTGTTGTAAAATTATTCGGGTCAGCTTATACTCGAGTATAGTATATACTTCATATCATTCACATACATACTTGCCTGAACTTAAGCCAGTCTCCAACGTATGCACTCTTCCTGTACCTTTTAAGAATGTCACAGATCATTGTGTCCTGTTGCAAGTGAGCTCTCTGGGAAGCAGCTGGGAGTGTGGAGAAGATGAGAGGGAAGTAGGATTGGACAGAGGGAGACATGGAGCCAAAATGCAGACCTGGTGCCAGTCTTTTCGGAACCTGCCAGGAACTCAGACCTTAAGCGGTGCTTCAGATCTGCCTTAATTTGAACTGAGATGGCCAATGTTTTATACTTGCCCGTTGGTCCATCATTGCCATCTCTGAGGGGAGTTTACCGTTGGACGGTATGATTCCCCCAGGGGGTGTGGACAACTCATTCGTGTGTCCACTCCTCATTTCTTGGCTTCTCTGAAAGGGCTTTGCCACAAAGATGATGGGATCCTCCTCTCTCTGCTCTTCCCCTCGTATCCTTGCCTTTTCCAAGAGCCGTCTGTCTGTGTGTGGGAGGTGAGGCTAGAAAGCTTCAGACACTGGGGTGTGGTCTCTGCTGTCAAGGTAGAGCTGCTATTTTGGACTTCAGAGAGTTTCTCAGACAAGAGACGGAAATATCCCAAATGTGAACCACCTCGTGGGGAAATGGATGAGCCAGAATGGGCTTTGCAGCACGTTGACTAGACAGGTGCAGCACACACAGATCGTCATTCTGTGAGCACTCTGGCTTCTCAGGGCCGCTACTTCAGGCAATTCTACCAGCACCTAGGTATTGAGAGCCCCCTGTGGCCTGCCAAAACAGGAAAATTGCAGACCCTCTGTAGGGACTGTTATCCAAGTGGATTTAATGAGCCCACAATAGTCAGGGAATCTGTGAGTGGTACAAATGGTGCATGCTGCTCAGCTGAAAACTGCAGGGTGAGAGGTCAACCCTTCCCATGGCACCGCTGAGAAAAGGCGTGGAGATGTACTTCTGAGAAAGAAGCCTTCCTTGGAACCCCCGTGAAGCATAGTGCTATGGTGACATGGGTCACCAGGAGAGTGGGTCAGTTTGAGAGCACCTGGTATGATGGGGCATTTGTGGTTCTGCTACAGTTTCCATGTCCACGTGGAAATGGGGGTTATTCCAGCTGTTGGCCACTCCTGCATGCCCCTGGGCCTGTGTTTTCAGTTATGTTGGGTGAACACCTTGGAGTGGCATCTCTGGACCTGAAGCTCTGGTTTTCCAAATGACCACCATTTCATTTTCCCACCAGCGATACATGAGTTTTCTAGCTACTCTGTACACCTGCCAGCATTTCAGTATTGTCATTTCTTTAATCTTGAGCATTTTATTCATGTGTTCACTGTGGGGTCATTAGGGTGGACCCTTGGCTGCCTCCAACTGCCTTACGGTTCTAGTTTGCATTTCCCTGATGGCTAATGATGTTGAGCATCGTCTCAGGTGCTGATTACCTGTTTGTTTTGTTGTTGGTCTTACTGAGTTGGGAAAGTTCTTGATACGTTCTGATTATGGGCTCATTTTTGCATGTGTGTTTTGCCAGTTGTGTGGCTTGACTTTCGTTTCTTAATGTTTTCAAAGAACCTAAGTTTTAAATGTGGATCGTTTACACAGAAAGGGCTTAGAGGTATTGACACCTTATCAACAGTGACCACATCCAGCACCCAGAGCTTGGTTTCTAAGTACTCTTCTCAACTAAACTAGACCAGGGATATTTCAAGGAATGGTTGATTCCAGGAGCAGGAGGGAAAGAGTACAAGGTGCATTTGGAGTATCTTATACCACAAAGAAAGAAAGTGCTTAAAGAAGAATAACGAGAAAAGAAAAAAAAAGAATAACGAGGGTTTGTTGAAAAGACATCTAACCATCCTGAAGGGGCTCACTGTCCAAACAGGACAATTTGAACATTAAAAGAAAGAATAATAGTAACGGATTATATGACCTATAATGTAAAATGCCAACCAGTAAATAGGCAGCTGATGCTAAAACCAATGGGGTCAAAATGCCCTGACAAATAGGATATTTACATAGTTTCAAAGTATCTCCCACAAAATACCTATTAATGGTAAGGGTGGGGGGAAAGTTACCTCTGCAGTGGAAAACCAGGGGAGATACTTCCTTGACTAGATAATCACCATTAATAGTACCAAGAATGGAACAAGTCAACAGGGTGTGCCTCCACTGAGAAGGACACGGAGGTGACCCTGACCACTTGGTTTCAAGCATCAGAAAAGTCCAGATTTGGCAGACAGTCTACAGAGTAAATTGCCTGGACCTGCTTCAAAGATGTCAGGATCATCAGAGACAAGGCTGAAGAGCTACTGAGATGCAGTAGCTGTAGGATTCTGGACCTGAGGAAGCAAACATCGTTTTCTCTCAGGCCTCACTCGGGACACACCGGGTATTCCAGACTTCCTTCCTGTGATGTTCCGACACCATGGAGAGGTGGAGTCTCCACCTGCTGATTCTTGCAGAGATTGAAGGGTTTTTCAGTGTTTATGAATAATCCCTCTTTTCTGTTTTGAATGATCTGCCAGCATCCTGTCTCCATCCATATAGCTCTTGTAGACACTTCTCAGTCTTTGTTGATTTTTATATTAAAAAAATTAAGTAGGTTCCTTTTTTTTTAAATAGCATAACCCATAGAAGAGGGCATAAAAGAAAAGGGCATAAAGGAAGCCCCTATCATCACTACGCCCCACTCTCCAGATGTTCTTTCTCTTGTTTCATGCTTTGCCCCCCACTCTTTTGCTTCCTTTAATTCCTTAGGGAGTTCTGAATATTTCTGTGAATTACTCATGCAGCAAGAGCGTGCGTCTTAATAGACTGGCAGAAGAGCGTCTGCAGGGAAGACTGCATGTTTCCCTCCAAAGATTTCATGATGAAATATATTCCTGTTCAGAGCAGACATGGCCATGTACATCTTATAAGGACTTTTAAAACAACAAGCCCTTATAGCAGTACAACTGTTGCAAAATTAGCAACAAGACTACAGTGGCACAAAGGAAGGAGCTTCAATTCCGGGGATTGAAAACCTTTGCTTAATCTTTGATGTTATCTCTCGATTTACAAACACTTGAACAAGATGAAACTGGTATTTGGTTAAACTCTGGATGTTGGGGATAGAGATGAGATGAGCCTTTTCCCACAAGCTCAGCTAACCCTTATTTTCTTCATCCTTCGTGGAATAATAGAATTCTGAACTATAGGACCATGGGAAATTGTTCTGCAACCTTATTTTTAAACTAAATGTCTGGAATATAGTAGACATGTGTTTTAACTAGGGCTTTCTAGAGGAACAAAACGTGTGTGTGTGTGTGTGTGTGTGTGTATGTGTGTGTGTGTAGCGAGACATTTACTTCAAGTAAATGACTCACATAAGTACACGCTGCCACGTTCCAGATTCATGAGTCAGGTAAGAGGCTGAAGACAGGCTGGAGGCCTTGGCTGGCTCAAGGCACTGCCAGGATTTGTGTGTCCAAAATCTGCAAGTCAGACAGAGGGAGAGGCTGTTGCAGGCTTACATCCCAAGAAGTGGTAGTCAGGCAGAGAAGAGTTCAATGTCAAAAAGAGAGTGAGCTTTGCCAGAACATCCATTTGTATCCTGGAGACAGGTCACACCTCCATGGAAACTCGTCTTTCAATTGATGGACTATAACTCTTTACAGGAATAGACAGCCTCGTCTTTCTTTGGTGGAGCACCTGGTAGTTTCAAACTGCAGACCTTGCGGTTAGCGTGGAACGAATCACGCCAGAGGGCTCCTCGAGTGAATAAAAGAAACTCATAAAGGAGCCATGGTAGTGCTGTGGGATGGGCACATGGGGCTTCTAACCAGAAAGTCAGCAGTTCAAACCCACCAGCTGCTCCTCAAGAGAAAGATGGCCCCATCAAGATGTACAGTTTTGGAAACACTACAGAGCAGTTGTCCTCTTGTCTAAAAAGGGTTGCTATGCGTCCAAATCAATTCCATGGCAGTGGCTTCGGTTTTTACATAAGTTAAATGGCCTGCTCTCAGCCCTCTGAGTTAGTAACACTTCTGAAACCTGAATGTTAATGGGAAACCATTCACTCACTTACCAGACATTTCTTGATGCCTAAGATGTGCCATGTGTGTATTAAGGGGTTGATGTTGTTAACTCCGGGCCTGTATCATTCGGGCCATGAGTGATTTGTAGTCCCAACACAGCACATCCTGGGATCCAGCAGGTACGCGGCCTGGGAGGAAAGGGAACTGCTCTGCTGCCCTCGATCCCATGGGTGGGACCTGCGGGTGGGCACCAGTCCTTTCCGCGAGCTTGTTGTCGACTGAACTTCCTGTTTGTTTTCCAGCTGGAAGAAGAGAGGTCTGTGCTTAACAGTCAGTTGTTAGAGATGAAAAAGAGGTAAGCTGGCTTTTTCCTGCTGATCGGTGTGAGAGTGTGTATGTGTGTGTGTGTGTGTGTGTGTGGTGTGTGGAGAAAAATCTCAAAACATGACATGTGGACAGTTACAAACAGGGACTACATGTGCTGAAAATTACACTGCGATGGTTCAATGACCTCATGACTGACCCATCATGAAGAGTCCATTTGTAAAGTGTTTACTATGAGTTACTTCAAGAATAGTTTAATTTTTCAGCCATGCCTAGTTGCCTTAGTTAAGAAATGTTCTAAAACCACTCCCATATCACAGTGTAGTCCTAGCGCAGTAACTGAAAATACCATCACTCACAGATCTCAGCCATCGGTCACTACAAGGCTAGCTCATTGCAGTGAGATAGAAAATTCAGTTTTTCAGTAATAACGGGTTGCAACACCATTTAATACGTTTCTATTTATTTTCTTCAGAAGAACCTTGAGTCTTAATTATTGTTCCATGATAATAATAATATTCAAATGCAAGTCCAGTGTTTGTTTGTTTTTAGTACTTTTGAGTAAGGACAACAGCCCACAAAAATGACCCTCTGTGATTTCTTATTTACCCTGATGGCCACTGGCTGATAGCAGGTCATTTAACTTATGTAAAAACCGAAGCCACTGCCATCGAGTTGATTTGGACGCATAGCAACCCTTTTTAGACAAGAGGACAACTGCTCTGTAGTGATTCCAAAACCGTACATCTTGATGGGACCAGAGAGCTTCATCTTTCCCTTGAGGAGCAGCTGGTGGGTTTGAACTGCTGACCTTCTGCTTAGCAGCCCCATGCCCATCCCACAGCACTACCATGGCTCCTTTATGAGTTTCTTTACTCACTTGAGGTTCCCTCTGTCTGGTCCTTTACATCATTCAGCTGTATCTCGAGAAGTGTTTGTGATTCGCACCACAGCATGCCAAGCAGTATGGTGTGTACCACGACTGAGGAGCCATAGCCTTGACAGTGGTTTTCCATTGAATGTTGCATATCCAAACATTGGCATGAATTCCTCCATGCTCTTGCAGCCTTTCTTCTCTTGCTGGGACACAAGAACATTCCCTACTGGCAGCCTGTCCTGCATAGGCAGTTGTCCTACCTTCTCTAGGAGGTATCCTTTTCAAGCCGTGGCCTACAAAAACATTGGCCTTTATTTGCCCACGGAGATATTTGAGTTCCATAAACTGCATTCCAAAGCGCACTAGGCTCAGCCAGGGGTGGCCTTTCTTGATTAAGAAATACTTCAGTTCTTTCACCATGAAGGCCCCACCAGGCTGGTGGTCAGGTTCTAGAATGCAGCTGTATCCCTATTGGGCCCAAGGTGTTTCATTCTACATACATGAGGCCTTGCTTTGTGTAATCAATTACCAAGGTCAAGTGAACAAAGAAATAGGGCTTGTTCCTATGGCGTCCCAGCAAGAACACATATACAGATGGGCCGGTGTGTGCTGGCACAGCCCCCTTCCCTCGATGGACCACTGAGTAACTCACAAGTTCACCTAATCCCCAAGCAACCTGGGAGATAGCCAGTGGCCTTGCCTATAATAATAAGGGAGCTGAAGCCTCCAAAGTGACATGACTGGGCCTCCAGGTTTTCATGTGCTTCTCTGCTCACTGACCTTTGCAGACTGCCTTCATTTACACGAAACTCCTTAAAGAACAGTGCTATGCTTCATTAGTGCTTGACTATGTGATCTGAACTTCTAAATGTGATTAGGCATGGGGCTTTTTCCCCCCCATCGCTTAAAAAGATGGAACCGCTTGGTGCCCCTGAGATGCTCTCTCTTTTTGTAACCATCTCGGGCTCTCGTTTTAAGTCCTCTATATGTTGTTGGTTATTTGATCAGTAAAAGTAGAAAAAGATGGTTTTCTTTGGTGTGTTTTTCTCAGAGTGAAAAAAAATCTAAACCTTCCCTGTTCTCATATTTACAGCTGGTTTTTAGCTATTTTATTTGTGTGTTAATTAACTCCCATGGAGAAAAAAATATTTCTGCTTTAGAAGTTTGAATGTAAATGTGTTTTGGCTCATAATTTGGGCCCTGAAATGCTTTCTGAAATTCAGGTTGGTAATGAATTTCTCTAGAGGTCCATGTGTGCAGTGATTAAGTAAATTAATAATATCTTAATTTTTTTAAGTTTGGAAAACAGATCACAAAGGCGTTTGAAACGTTGGTCACACAAGAACTGAGACTGTTGACACAGGTAGCAGTGTAACTTAGTCGTGATCACAGAACACTGCAGCCATGTCCCCACCACACCCAGGTGGCCATTAGATTGAAACCAGCTTCACGGGCTGCCTTCCCTGCCGCTCTTTCCAAGTCCTCCCTCAGATTTTACTGCCTTAGTCATTTCTTGGGAAAGCTGGTTTCCCGAGTCGGGCAGCCCCTGCCTTCCCGGCAGGTTCTGAGAGGTCTGCGAGCTGAAGCAGTGTCACCCTTGAATTGCTGGAATGATCAGAAACAGAAAGGTCTCGGCCTCCCTCGTTCCCCTCCAGCCTAAAGCAGAGTTGGGAACCTGCCTGGTTTCCCTCCTCTGGACTTTTTTGAAGCCACAGAAGAGACTCAAAAGTCAAACTCTTGGACAGGGAGTCTGGGCAGTCAGGATTCGTCCTGTAAGTGGTGATGCCAGAGTTCTGCCTGAATGGAAACGGGGTGGTGCTGCGGTGTCCCCATTGCAGAGAGGCCAGGCGCGGCAGCGGCTCACGCAGCGCACTGTGGGTTGCTAACTGTCTGAGTGTCTCCGAGCTAGCGCTACTTACCAATGCTCATTTCACTCCTCTCTTTTCCCTTCCCACTCTTGCTTCCTTTGCTATATCTGTGTGTCTTTAATGGTAAGACTCAAGAAAGTCTATCCACGTTATAATAAATAAACTTCATATCTTTTTAGTAAAACCAAATTGTTGTACATGGTTTTTGGCTGCCTTTGTCCCTCTGTGTCTTGCTTTTGTTTTGTAAACTATTCTCAGCAGTACACACACAGACACACACACACACACACACACACACACACAGACACATTCCTATCTGCACACAGCCAAGAACTTAAGTGCAAATTTACTTCTCCGTACTGTATTTGCATTTTTCTCCATGTTTCTAATATTTGGTTCTTGTTATCTTGCATTTTTAAAGCTTGCCCAGTAACACTTTAAGGTATTTGCTTCATTACTGGATTTTTTTTCTTCCTGAAGGAGTAAGGAAAGAATCTGGGTAATATGTTCCCATGGGTTGAGGGCGAGAGGAGGACTTCTGGCCCCCAACACCCTGCTCTCATATCAAGTTCTCTTCCCTTCTTTGCATGGCAAATAAGGCCACACCCAACTGGACGCCATGGAGTTAGTCTGACCTATGGCTCAGATGGAGAGTGAAGGTCTCACGAGCTGTTGGGTCTGTTCACAATGTCTTTGGTGTGGAAACCCAAGTCAGGTCTGCCTTTAGGCCCTGCAGCTTTGGGGAACTTGTGGAAGGAGCCTGTTTGCTTGCCATCTTCGCAAGATAGCAACCTCGCTCAGGGTTGTATGCACACATTGGTATGTGGGACTATGAGCAGAGTCATGGCTGTTGGTACCAGAGAATGACTACAGGCTCTTCCTGTTGCCAGCCCGTGGTGTGTTCACCCCACCCAAAGAGAAAGAACAGGTGGGATCATGGCTTGCTCAAGTTCCTGACGCTAGGAGAATCAAAACCCACCAAGCAAACCATTGATCCTGATGTTTGTCAGAAAAAAACCAACATGTCAAATTGTATTTTTCATGTTTGTAGCAAAGGAAGGCTTTTTTTCCCCACAATAAACTTTCAGGTTTAACACAAGCTTAAGATTCCCAAGATTTATTGAATCTGTGGCTACCATCAGCCATTTACTTTCCAGGTGGCAAAAAGTACTTTTAACATTCCTGCCATTTAAATTTTTGTTCTGTTTTCACTGTAAACAAGATCTTACTTCCTAGCAAGTGTGTGTTACTGGCTTAGTAATTCCACAGCACTGATGCCAGCCCCTTCCCAGGGCCCTTAGAAAACTGGGGTGTTTCATTCAAGAAATTCCCGTAAGTCTCAGATTCTTTTCTTACTACTTACCATGCTGGAGTGTTCAGTGTAAGCCACACGATGAGATAATACAACACATACATTTTCATCTTTGTGTAGAATTTCCACTTACCATGAGTCATGAGAATTCTGTAATTCGTGTGCCGGATATCTTGGGTCTCACTAACCAAACATACATCCTGCCATTTCTAACCGGGCCAGTTCCTCTCCTGCCAGATAGTTCCAAAATGGGTGGAATCATCACATGCCCCACCCCCGCCCAGGTACTCCCTGTGAAACCGAGAGCAGTTTAGCTTCTTGAGCTGGCTGTGCCCATGCCCTGTCTGTGCTGACACATGGTCAGAGCCTGTGGACTGCAAAGGGGATGACCACAGAGCTGGCAAGGACAGCATTCTTCGGTTTTGTTTACCACCACTACCCCACCCCACACATAGTCTCTCTTCAGACTGTGGGATTTTTCTGAAACACTTTATTTCTCTTTAGTTACACTTGATTTACAGAAAAGTTGAAAAGTAGCACAGAACCCTCTCAACTACCCCCTAGCCCTCCCAAATGTGGATGAATTCTTTCACAACCGTGATCAAATACTAAAACTGTATGTGGATTCCCCACTCCCGTTTCGCATTCAAGTAATTTTTCCTCTGCTCAGAGCCAGTCCAGACAGCCAGCTTGCACTTCCTCAGTCCCCTCTCTGCCTCAGCACCCTGCCCTTTTCTCCTATGCCAATCCTGGCCCAGGCACTAATGTGTTCATGTCCTTTTACAACCAAAATGGAACCATAGATGGGCACACACTACCCACCCATTTGGGTTTTATCTATTGTGTCTTGCCCGCCCTGCCATTCCCTCCTTCCTCCTGCCTGTCTTCCTCTCTCTCACTGAAGGCCTTGTCTCCCCCCGCCACACACACACCCATTCCATTGGTAGCCAATGCTGAAGGGGTGCCCCAGAGTAGGGCCCACTCAGCTGGGTCTGTGAGACCACAAACCCATGCCCCCAGTCCTCCTTCCAGACTCCCACACTACGGTCCCGCCTGAGAACCCCAACTGCCTGCTCTCAGCACTTATAGGACCCCTGCCCATTTCTGCGTCACCTTTCAGCGGGAGGCAATACAGGAGACAATCCACCTGTTTGGACCCCCAATATCCGAGCGCCCACCTTCTTGGAACTGGCTGACGTGTTACTGAAATTAGTGAGAACCAATGGATACCTCCAGCATAAAACTGCTCTGCATGACGTCATACAGTCGCTTTGCATGTGTGCGTTTTATTTAACTGTTGTAATTGCTTGGTAAAAACTTACTCAAGAAGGGACAGAATTCAACTTGGGTTTCTATTTTAGTAGATCTTTTTTTTTTTGGTCGGGGAGGGGGTTGTAACTTTTATTTTTCTTCTTTTTAAAAATCCTACATCTTCCAAATTAATAACTTGTTTCTTTAAATTCGAATGGATGCAATGATATGCAGATTCTGGCATGTCTATGCATAGGTACCCTTTCCTCCCCTCACAGTAAGTAAAACTTCCAGTAACATTTTGCAAGCATAATAGTCTTAACCCCCGATACAACCTCCCTGCTTTTGTTTTGTTTTGTTTTACATTAAAGTTGACTGTATGAATTTTTTTTCTTCTCCTTTCTTTCAAAAGCACCATTGTACATTGATCACTCTCATGGTTGATTTCTGGAACCTTTAACTCTTTGGTCTTTTAGAGAATCCATGTACATAAAAGACACAGATGAAGAGAAAGCCTCTTTGCAGAAATCCATCAGCATCACTAGTGCCTTACTCACGGAGAAGGATGCGGAACTGGAGAAGCTGAGGAGTGAGGTAGAGAGCTAGTTCTGGGGAGGGCCGCCCTTACCTCCACCCCTCACCCCTTGGGGTGGGCTCAGCGCCTGAGCCCTGCCACCTGTGTTTCAGGTCATAGTGCTGAGGGGAGAGAACGCCTCTGCCAAGTCCTTGCACTCGGTGGTTCAGTCTCTGGAGTCTGATAAGGTGAAGCTTGAGCTAAAGGTCAAGAACCTGGAGCTTCAACTCAAAGAAAACAAGAGGCAGCTCAGCAGCTCCTCAGGTAAGACGGCACCCCCAGGGCCTGTGGCAGGGGAGCAGTTCCAGGGAGGGGATGAGAGACAGCTGACGGCCGCTTCTGACCTGGGCCATCGGTCCATGAGGGCTAGTCACCACCCAGGTCCACCTCACAGGGGGAGCCTGGTGTCCAACTTCTGGGCATCCTGTGGTTTGTGGAGGGTTGTCACAGCCTAAGGTAGTAGGTGACAGCTGCTGTCACAACAGTGCCATTAGAGCACCAAGTGAAAGAAGCAGAGACACAGAGCCTTTGTTCTTTTACATTCGTCCCAGGGT